GAGAGAGAGAGAGAGAGCATTTCATTATCCTTTTCTTATTATGAGTTCTTTCGGGGTTTGAAAGCACTGCAAAAAACTTGGCTTTCCTGCCCCTCAATGAAGCTAAATTTTGTAAGTAGAACTATGTACAATGGAGAAACAAAAGTTAGCTTTCTTGATCTCTCTGCAATGGAGAGAGAAATAACATGTTGTTCTTAGGGTAAACTAATTTACTTTATGTTTGGAAACTGAAATATATACTTGGATTTGTGTGTGGAATATATGGCAAGTTCATCTTAAGAGACTTGTCAGTAGTTGCAATGTCCATAAGCAGGCAAATTCTTTTCTTCTTCGAGTCTCCCTTCAGTCGGAATGTCACTTTCTTCAGTCTCTTTCTGATGCGTTGTAAAAGGAAGAAGAAACCCACACCCTGAAGTCGTCTTTTTAGTTTCCCATTTTGGTCCCTCTTTGGTGAAGAGGAAAAGGTAGGATCTACGAATTCTGATTGGAATAAGCGTTTCCATCAGCAGCCAATTACGTGTCTCCTCTCCTCACCTGAATCTCCATAAACCCTTCTCAGAATCATGTTCTTTTGCTCCATTTATGCTTTGTACTTGTGTTGAAGTCATGTTTCAGTCTTAAAACCTACAAAAATTAGCAGCATACTTAGTTTCACCCTCAGAAGCTGTCAGTCCCATTTCCAAATAGCATCCAGCAGCTACAGAACTCTGAAACCAATCCTACTACTTTATCATCTTCACCCACACCATATAATATACCTTTATCGACAGAAGTTGCTGTATCACAATCAAAGAGGTTGGGAGCTTCAGATAAGTTGGACCATGCAGAGGGGTCATCCTCTGTTCTTTACCTACACATATGTCTTGTGTTTCCAACAAGTGACTGACACAAGTAAACCCAATGAGCACATGAAAATTATTTTCCACAGGAAGAGTTGATCTTCACCACCTCACATGTGTTCTCAAACATGGGACGATGGCCATCTTGGATCTCTGTCAGACCCACTTGAAAAGAGTGAGTGGAATCTCAGCAACATGGAAGGTCTGTTGTCTTCAACATTGGTTGGGTACCCTTCCAGGTAGGTCATGAAAGGGAGGCAGCAACAAGGTGTGAAGGATTATGCTTGCAAAAGAGATGTTTGATTTAGCTGTTTCTATCTTTGTAGTTAAGGGGTCTCATGTTGATGGAAAGATCAATTTTGTTGTCCACAAAATTGCCAACTGATTTCATCCAATGTTGGGCACCAACAAATTGATCTGTATTACACAAACTCTTTACCTTATCTCAAGAAAAATTATATCTACAGGTAGCTAGCTAATTGAGGAGGGCATTCATTTGGATCTCTAATAATGACAGTGAAAGCTATCATTTCCGTCAAAGCTTGGACATGCAAATTTGCTCAGGAAATGTAGCTTTCTGCTTGTTCGGTGAAAAGTTATCCAACAGCCACATCTTCTGATGCATTGATGGAATCCATCTTTCTTGACAACGATCTAAAACATAATCAAACAGAATTGAGCTAAGAACATGGCAAGTAATTCAATGTTATCTGATAAAGAAGGGATGTGAGATGCAACCTTACCTTTCTCATCAATTCTCATTCATGTCATTTTTGCTTCAGACAATTGTGATGCACCTTTGTCCACCCAAAATACGTATCATGTTGATTAACATCCAAAAGAAGTTACAGCTAAGAACAAAAATTACTGGGTCACAAGTTGGAGACACAGAAAGATCAATTTCAATCCATAAGCATCAAGCATCTTGAGCTGTTTGGCCCGTATCTTTCTAATTCGGCCCGTCCTCTGGGATATGGAGTCAAGTCAAGAGAAAGAAGATATGCAAAAGAAGCAACACTACCCAAGCTTTATCATTGAAAGGACTCATACTCCAAAACTTGCAAGTGGATGTGCACCTTCACTGTTATCCATCTTCTATATCCCAGAACTAATAAACCCTACAACACATCCGATCATGCTCCCGGAATTAATAGTTTTAAGTTTCATGAAACATACATCTGAAATTAACAGTTTTGGTTCCAAGCAATTTCAGTTCCGAAACCATTGGGTCTAAAAGAGGATAATCTTCCGTTGTTTCAAGTGAATTCGGCTTCAATTTTGATTCAAACCATCGGTTCGCATTGATAAAAAAAGAAAAGATTAAAAGATTTCATTACTAGATTTTGATTTTAAAGTGCTAACTATATTATGGAACTTATTTGAATTCTGATTCTATTGAGTACTTAATTCGATTCTGATTTGAATTGAATCGTAGTCAAAACTACCCTACAATTACGTCTTAGGATTGGTCTTGAATAGAAGAAGAAACAAGAGAGAGATGATATGAGGTTGAAGTGATTTAGGAAGGTAGTTTTCATGGGCATGGATGGAGTCCTCCTCAAGCAGTATCTATCAGTTGAACAACATGAGCCACATTACTTTAGCTGTTCCGTAATGGACCCGGAAAGTTCTCTAAGAAGATTGCCCCATCTTCTGCAACATTCGAGTCGAATTTTGCTACTTATTTGTTTGTGAGTTCAGCGGACGAACACATCAAGCTTGGAACAAAACTAGCCACGCATGGGTGTAAGCCTCAGAAGCTTTCTGATGATCATATAAGCTCTTCTGATATCTTATGCTGCAGAAAGAGAACTCCTTTAAACAAATGGTTGTCATCTCTTCCCAGCTATTAGATATGAAATCCAGCACACTTGGTGGTGGATTCATTAATAATATTAGAACATATGGCTGCCTTTTCAACTATTAGATATGACATCCAGCACTGGTAGGTGGATTTATTATGGTTAGGAATCAGATGCATCACTGGAATACTTTTTCATTTTTTTATTTCTTACATAAACTTAGTGCATCTTCTTAAACAAGGGATACGAGAGCATAGCAAGCTAATACAATAAATAATAAAGAAGGGATACGAGAGCATAGCAAGCTAATACACTGAATTAGCATCCAATATAGGAGATAGGTCAAAAAGATCTTCGTTGGTCAAATCGTTCTGTGTAGTAAAATGACTTTAATTAAAGTAAAAAAGAAATACAAATGACTTGAAGACCTCTTCAAACATTATGTAGCTACATCAATGAACTACTCCACTGTGGATGTTGGACCTCTTAAACTGAAGGAAGAAACTTGTATTGCCTTCTCTGCTGCAGTTTGTCCAACTTATCCCATGTCAGTGCATGGAAGGCAGTACACTTGTTCTGTGACTACAGCACTGGATCCAATTGAGCCCACCTGTTGCTTGTGAGATCAGCTTTGCTGGTGAAAGGGATGGATGAGGGAGCCATTGAAGTGTTGTGACTTGGACAACTGTGATGAGAACAAGCTCAGATACAATTAAGAGTTCTTCTGTTGTAGGGTCATGGGAGTGATGTGTACTTGTGCAACTTCGGTTGACGAGTAGTGTATATCCCCCCAAGATAATTCACAATCTATCTATCTATCTAATTAGGTCGATTAGACGTTCTAATCCAACTCAAGTGGGTGTGTTATTGCTATCTAATAATTGTAATTATTCTCTCATGCTTAATTGGAATTGACGGCAGTCTCTGATCAGTATGTGTTGGACACCAATTGCGACAATGATAAGTGGCTTGGATTTTGCCCCCCACAATTCTAACCCCGAAATCTATCAAAAAGTAGAAAGAATTTTCTCTTAATTAAAAGATTTTTTTATTCTTTTTGTAAGTGGAAACGTGGGATGAAGGACCCATTTTTTAATTACCAGAAAACACGAAAACAGAAGCTACAAAGAACCTTCCTTGTCCGTCCTCTACCATTCTCTCCTCCCTCAAAACCCATGGCTGAGTGCTGATTGATCCTTCCTCGTCTCTGATCTTCACTTCCCGCGTATCCTTCTTGGAAAAGAGTGATCTGATCTACGTTTATTGGGAGAATGATAGCTTTCGTCTCCGTGTTTGCCATCACTTCTTGAATTGAGATAATAGCAGCTTCTTCTTCCTCCTCCTGGAGTACTGTTTCCTTCACCCTCTCTCTGTCTTCTACAAGCGATACCATGGACTCTGGTAACCGTGGTAGCCTCCAGTCAAACAGCGGCGGCGGCGATGATGACTTTGACTCCCATGTTGACTCCCTCTCCGCCTTCTTCAGCTCCTCCTCCGTAGCTGGCGCCACCACCCTCCCACCGGCACCGCTATCCGACGGCCAGCACTTCTTCGACTACCCGTCCATCTCCTACCTCAACTCCTCCACCTCGCTCCTCCCCCTCGACTCCGCCGCTGCGGTGCCTTGGCTTTGCTCTCATCTTGACTCCTCCAATTGCACCGCTGCCGCCGTCTGCCAGTCATCGTCGTCGATGTCGTCAGTGCAACAGCCCGTCCCCACCGCTGCGGCAGCTGCAGGGTCGCGGAGCTCGAAGAAGCGCTCTAGGGCCTCGCGCCGGGCCCCGACGACTGTGCTCACCACCGACACGTCCAACTTCCGCGCCATGGTACAGGAATTCACCGGCATCCCATCCCCTCCCTTCGCCGCCGCGTCCTCTTCCCCCTTCGCCCGCTCCCGCTTCGATCTCTTCCACTCTGCTTCCGTGGGCTTCCGTTGTCCCACCGACGCCCCTCCGCCCCCTTTCCTCCTCCGGCCCTTCCCTCAAAAGGTCCAATCTCCGTCCCTTCCTACTACGACTAATTCCATCTCCTCCTTTTCTTCTTCTCCTCCAGCTTTGATCCCCACAACTACTGCATATAGTGTCAATACCTGTACTCCTACTGATAACCACAACAGCGACTACCAACTACGTTATCAAGATCTTGGCCTCGGTGGAGGACACAGCCAATCTCCTCCCGCCCTCAACTTTCAATCCCCACTTCAACCCTCTCTACTCCAAGCCAATTACACGCATGCCATGCCGACAAGCTTCGATGCAAAGCCCTACGGCGTGCCGTCGGCTGAGTATGGCAACAACGTGCTCAGCGGCCTCCTCCCAGGTCATATCGCGTCCAAAGCAATGCGGTCCGGCTGGCCGGACGCCAGCACCGATCTAGCTCAATCGAGGCCGCTCTCGGGGCGGTTGGAGTTGGACGGAGAGAGGCAGCCGGAGAGCATCGCAGCCACGAGGAGCGAAGGCATGGCGGAATCGAGAAGAGAGATGTAGTGAGGTTTTTATTGGACGCAGAAGGAGAGGAGTTCATGGCTGCCTTCTTTCTCCTCATGCACATGACACATGTAGCAAGCAGCACTGGTAAGTATACATTAGTATCTTCTTCGTCTTCTCTATTACCTATCTATTTGGTACGTTAAGAGGATTTCTCGAGCTCATCACTATACTTGCACAATGACAGAGCTTGGAAACAGTAGTAGTTTGTTTCTTCTGTCGTTCGTCCCATTTCCTCAGGCATTGTCAACCACAGTAGCTCTTCTAAGAGAAGACTAAAGATGTGCATGGTGCAATCGAAACGCAAATATGTGATGTCTATCAATGTTTACATTATAATACGAACAAATGGGAGGAGATGGAAATCAAGTGGAGCATAAGCTTTCAGCAATCTTCCATCTTTAATCATGCTACGTATAGATAGATTCCTTTCATTCATATACCGATTCCTTCGTCACGTTGACACAATGAATCGGAATGCCTTTATAATTATGTAGAATAATCAATTTTCAGTACTTCTAAACAAGAAATCAGATTGTTTATTTATGACATGAGTGATAATAATTTGATTCGTGAATATAGTCTTCTTATCTATAAAGGTAAGACTGCATTGGTCTTCCCAAATCCGGTATTAATATTACTAGGAGTTATATGCATTGAATTTGTCCTCTTATCTAATACGGTATATATTGACACTTCATTACTATCGTTTATTGATTTTTCGATAAAAATAAATTAAAATATGCTACTGAATTAAAAGCTTTCATATTGCAAATTCTTCATCAGTTTTATAAAGTTATCGTAACGACGACTTGTTTCATATAATATTATCATTCTAAACCTTTCTCGTGTAAAGAAGCGGCTCTCGCAAATGAGAGAGATACTTTTCTCTACGACTATTCGTAAATTATAAATCTTCTGTTCGTCAAAGCTTACAATTGAATGGGTGTTCGATAAATACTAGTTTTTGTTTATGTATTTTCAAAATAGTACATCCCATTCTTTTTCTGAATGTTGAACAATATATGATATGATGATGAAATGAGATAAATAGTAGTGTTTCTAGTTCACTCTAGATTCTTTTAACTCTTCCTTAATTGTCAATAAAACTGGAAGACATTTCAAAGATTATTTTAATTATAAACATTGTCCATTGATATCTACTTGATAAGGATTCAAAATCTCATTCGATAAATTTTACATTTAAAATATTAATTAAGTAACATTCATTTATTAAAATTTGATGATATGAACATCATCCAATAAATTATTACATTAAGGAAAATGACAAGAACAATATATTGAATGGTTTATTCATAAATCCTGATCTTTCTTTGTTTTGCAATGGATCAGGTTAAAGAAAATGACAAGAACAATAAATATATTGAAAGCGACCACCCAAAGATAGGAAAATGAAAAGAACAACGGCAGTAAAATGGTATAGAAACATTCAAAACCAACCACATCAGAGATGCAACAGGCCATGGATAATAAGGTTGTGGTGTAAAAGCTTTCTAGGCTCCAAAGAACATTTACTGATCTACAAAAATTTGCTGTGCCCATATTTTGCTTCTTACTTTGCTCGCAACAATATTTTCCAGTCTCTATTCATCTCCGCCTGTCAGACAGCAATGTACAATCTGAGTTGCTGACACAAATCTTCTCTCTCTCTCCCGCGTTTTAGAATGCTTGGTTTTTTGGGCTCGCAGGTGAAAGTGAACAGATCTAACAAAATTTGGCATGATTAGATGTGTCAGGTTTTGGAATAAATGATAGAGAACTGTAGACAACAATGTGATCTACATCAAATGATGTCTTTCTTCTTCCATCCCAAAGTAACACGTGAGATGGAGCATTTGGTGTTCTGCTTAAAAGGACGACGGGCTTCAAAAAAAGATCGAGGGGTTTCCCCGACTGCCTCCCCTCTCTTTCTTCCTTCTCGAAGAAGACCAACATCTTCCATCAGACTTCAGAAACAAGTTCAAGTGACAATCTCTCAAAGGATCACTAACAACAAGACTTTGTGGATTTGAACGACTTGGTTTGCGTAATTCTGTGGTTTGCCGTTGTTTCATGCACCTAATGAGGTGAGAATTGGTGTCAACAAAGCAGCTCACCAACTGGGGTCAACCGGGCATGATGACTGCAACCAGACTGACAAAGCTACATGAGTGGCTGTCTCTTATCTTGTCTCACTTTAATGTCCATACTAGAACCAAATCATGCGACTGCCATTACCAGAGAATCCTATCATGAACTACACCCTCACTGAAATGGTCATCTGCAAGCAGCAGGAAGTTACCAAGCTGTGAACTGTTGGATCAACCATCAACCAGTAATTCTTTTAAGACCAAGGATGGTTGATCAGTTTCGAGCAGGGATGGTAGCATGTTGCCTATTTTCTAGGGGAAGAGTACATGCTTATATTTTATGCTGCGAGATGCCATGTGAAGTTGACAGGACCAGAGAAGGCCATGACTTGTAGCTTACACCAACACTCTTCTGGTTGACTTGACCCAGGAATGGAGGGAGTCCTCCTTTGACTGGTGTAGTTATGTATGTAGGAGAGGCAGTAAAGATCCAGGGATAAAATTCTGTGAAGCTAAAGAGAGATTTGAGCCATCTTTTTGGAACATAGAATAAGTCTTGCACTTCATCTGTTTGGCTCAAGGTTTTAGGTCAAGGGAAGGTTTACTTGCCAAAGCCACACTGAGAATATTTTGGAGTAATTTTATAGATACATGAAGAGTAATCTTCCTTGTGACCTCGAAAGGCTAATACTGAAGACTATTGATGTGTTCAATCTCACCAAATGAATGAGGACCGAAAAAGTATTTCCTAAAACAAAAATAGATGTTTTGTACACTAGGAAGGACAATTAATTGGTGAAATGAGACATAAATATATCACATAATTCATGTAAAATACTTTGAGGCAAATCTATTCAATAATTCTTGTTAGGTGGTCAGTAACATTAGCTTGTTTACATCTCATCCAAGTCACCATAAAATTCTCGTCATAGACAAGATGATGGTGCTTTCCTTCTCTATAAAATAATATCAATTGTGATCCTCTATAAAATTTCCCTTCCAATGGTAGGTAGCGCAATGCAGAGAAATAAAGACCTAGTTGACAAGAACATACTCTTTTATATTTCATCTCCCACATGATATTTCTTTTGGGAATGTCCACATCTACTATCCTTGGAACACTTTGTGATATCAAGAACCTTGGAGGTGGAATTTGACACAGCTAAGTGAGGTTGGTTCTACATATCCTGCATGGTCTTTATTGAAGAATAGATCTACTAGGGAAGGCATGAAATCAAGGTGGGTTGTTTGCCTTGTGTGGGGAAAAAAGACGATGGGACTTTCTTGTATATGAGCAAGGCACTCTTTTCTGGCTTTCTGACTGATGATAGACTAATTGATCATTTAGTGTTTCATCCTAATTTGTGTCCTAACTGCTTGATTGCAAAGCTGTGAAAGTTTCACCCTTAGTTCAGATATGGATGAAGCAGACATGACAGTCAAACTGACCACAAGATCTTGTCATCTTGCCAGCATCATTTACTACATACAACATGTTCATCACATACTGATAAGAGCAATAGTAGTAGGCCATGCAGGTTTTTGTGAGTACAAGAGACTAGCCATATATTAGCAGCAAGCTTAGTCAAGAATCAATTGAGATTCATCAACAAGATCTGTAGAACTGTTCTTGTATTGGTTTCCCATGTCTGATACCAACAATCTCCATAAAAGGACCTTAGTGGTTTTTTCTGCATCTTAATAAAGACATGAACCATATGCTCAACCATACACCACCATCCACATTATTACCAGTGCCTAAACTCGAACAAGCATCATGGTGTAACCAAATGCACAGATACAAATAGTGTCAAGAGTGAGTGAAGGGTGGCAGGATGCAATGACAATTAGGACTTGTTCTTACTCAAGAGAACAAGACAAGGCCATTTACCAGTCCAAAGAAGGGTACAGTCCTCGACTCAGAAAACTCTAAAACAACTGGTCATTTTTCTGCAAAGACTCAGCACATGCCCTTTAATATTTCCTTCTGTACCACCATTTCTGCAAGACACAAGAATGACGACTCTTGGTTCCCCTCTCGTTGTGTGGAAAGTGTATATTAGACCTTAGAGAGTGTCGATCCTTCTCTTGACTGATTTCTCTTTGGCAACAGTTACCCAAGATAGTTGCCAACTCCAAGACAGACAGACTCTAAATTCCCCCACATGAGCATTTGACTAAACTCTTCCGACATTGACCAAGACTTTGAGGGATCATCACTTTATTGCTGGTGTACATCCATCCCTTGGAGTTCAGCAAGAACAACTAGGACTCAATAAAGTTGTTTCTCACCATAATTCATGGACATGGTGGACTTACTATACTGCCTAGCAGAAGAGTGTTTACCAGATAGGCAACAACAATTCAACGAGCTACCTAACCAGGTTTACTGATCTTGTTAAAGTTCTTTAAGCTCATAATCTGTCACAAGAATGTGAAGACAACAACTATTTGGATTAAGCAAATAGAACTAAATGTTGTCTTACCAACACACACACTCACTAATAAAAAATGCTGTTTTAATTCTAGATAAAAACCATGTGTTAATAAGTTGCTAAATTGTGGTGACTGAAGGGGACGTAAAGGAGTAGAAGTGGAGGGCAGAAATCTACACCTCTGGTTAACTAGCAGCTGATGAGATACCACTTTATCGAATTGGCATCCTTTTTCTTTCCTGGGAAGGGGCATAGTTTTTACCTTTTCAGTTCAAATACTGTCTTGGTTTGATACATCTTACATACCTGAAGATATTTGGTTACTTAGTGATGAAAACAGGTGAGATAAACCTTTTTCTTTTAGATAAATCCTCAGCAAACAGGCAGTCATAAATGACAACCCACTTTTTCTCCTTCCGCCAAATTAAAGAAAACAAAAAGAAAAAAACAGAACATTAATCATTATTATTTGAATTTGGAAATGAATTTCAACTTGGAATAAGAAGATCTCCCTCAAGCACGAAAAGTTAGATGTCTTTCTTCTCAGGAAGTAGCACCAACGAAAGACAAGATACTGCTACACCTGAGGCTGAGGGGTCTCCCTGTCTCATCTCATGATTCTTGTTTCAGACACCCCTCCTCCTGCGTATCTAATGATGTTATCTCCCACAAATTCTATGTTGTCTATGGTGCCATAATCGGAGTTGCTTGCTGAGGGCCCCCCATGCACCTGTGATAGCAAGGCTACTTAGTGTTTCTGCTGATGATGGGTAACCCAAACTTGGGGCATGGATGAGGAGACAAGGTTTGGCATCTCACATCAGTCTCAACACTGTCTCCAAAGGACAAGGCTGGGCAAAAACCCCTCTGCCATAAATGTTGGATTGCTTGATTAAAGATCATAAGTTTTACTCAGAAAACCAAGAGGTGAGTTAAGTTCATACAAACAGGATTGGTTTGAAAATTTAGCAACATAGATTGATCAAATCTGTGGCTGCAAAATTACTGTGTAATTTAGAAGTTTTCATCTTGACTGTGAATTGAGATCCTTGTAGCTTTTCTGACCTAACATCATGTGAGAAGACAATCTTAAGAGTCCAATATCATAAATACACCAGACAGAGGACATGGATCAGTATCAGCTTGAGATGTATATAATTAAATCAAAATATCAATTACAAGTGCAAATGTTTTCGAATTGTATCACAATATTGAGCCCAAATCCTAGTTGTTAAACGGATCCAGGATAGTCAACAATGCGCCGCCAAGGATCCAGTTAAGGCGAACCCATTGACGATGATGGTGCGCCATGCTGGCGCAAGGTGCGGCTGGTAAAATAGGTGGGGCCAACGGCGCCCGCCCATGGGGCCCCTGTCGATTCCATTCACGGTGGCGACGACGACGACGATGCGACTCCCATCTCAGTGTCGGTGCCATGACAACACCACGAGCACCACCATGACCATCAATAATAATAATGTACAAGACAGGTGAAAAGATTTATAAGAAAATATGTACATTATACATTTGTTTGCCACCCTTCTGTTGGATTAATATATTGAAGATGTTTTAAGCAGCTTGTTTCTCTTCTTTCCGGTTTGTAGGTGTGGAGAAGTGGAAGCACAGAGAATTAGCTGATGACTGTTTCCATATGACAGTCAAAATATGCAACATAGCACAATGATGGTAGACTATTCTACATCGTCACCTAAATATGTTTCCAATTCTCAGAGACGTGCTCTATATCTAAAGGAACATCGTCAAGACATTAATCAGCAGATGCTTAATTGCATGCCATCTCACACACAAATTTATTCCTTAAGCAAATTATATGAAAAGGAAGGAGAAGATTCTTCTACAGAATATGCATTTAAGTTAACTCAAGACAGGTATATATATCTTTTCTGTTTAAGCATAAGAAAAGGCAGAAGAAGAATCCCACCATCCTCTTTTTACAGGATTACAACCCTAAGAATTAAGCAGCTTCGACCTAGTAAAAATGGCATTAGCGAGTGCAAGTTCACAGTGCAGAGTCTTATCACATCCTCTGCAGCAGCCCCCCTTCCTTTCCTTGGAGAATGTCCGAGAGCAGACAAGGAGATTATTCTGTTCATGATCAACCTGACGAATAAAAACAAAACAAAACATTCATAAAAATTTCAAGAACTGAGATCAGGTAAATCATGTGCAGAAACTCACATGAACGACTACACAATCATGCACCTTTCAAAAATAAGTGAGTTGCAAGGGTCATAAAAATCGGGTTATGAGCTTTGTATACAATGTCATGATTAACTGGGTTTGGTTGCAGATATCATCACAAAAGGTCCATTCCTCACACATGTAAAATTGACCAAGCCACATGTCTGGCAGAGATCTTCAAGTTCACCTTCTGATAGATAGAGGTAATTGCTTGAGGCACGGATATAATACTGCAAAAGAAAATGCCACCAATTTCCACAAATCAAAAACCGAATAAAATAAAGATCAAAGGTTACAAGAACTCAGCAGATCAAAAGAATGAGGCTTACCTGATTGATTAAGACACAAAGACATCCGATGTAAACCTGTTTTATTTATGCAAATAGCAAGATAGAGACATACGAACGAGGACTAATGTTATGTTTCTAACATCATAAAAAAAAGGCTCTCTGTAGCCATGGTAGTGCATCTCTTGTATGAACAAAAGGATGACTAAAGTGGGCTTATAGATGCCTTTATAACTGTGCTTTGTCATTAAAACAAATAAGAAATATGCCATAAGATCCATTGATATTGGACCATGGACCAGGGGCCAGGTATCAGCAACCCAATGTATAATCTTTTTTTCAATGTGCCTTGCATTTATATCAGTTGTGTATCACATGTCATTGATAACCAGCGGCCAGACTACAATTTCATGTAAACAGTAGTTTTTTGAGAGTATAAATGTTAGATCAAAGCATTACCTGGCGGACTGTTTTCAAGATTGGAATAACCGGAGGCAAGACATCCAAGATGAAGGTTGTTGCAACAAATACACCTCCAGGGCGCAGAACTCGGCTTATTTCTGCTACCTAGAAACACCACAAATTTCTAATAAAAATGTTTTTTTTTTTCAAGAACAAATGGGACACGTGTGAGGGAGGGAGAATGTAACTTATTTAGATAGTTACCCCTTCTTTTTCTTGCTTTTTCCATATCCCAAAAAAGGCAAAGAAGAGGGTAACACTTGGGTTTCAAAAGTGAAAGAAGGAAAGAAAATACTTACACCAGCAGATGGAGAAGGCCAGCAATGTATGGCAGCACCAGCATGAACAGCATCAACTGAACTTGAGACAAAAGGGAGCCTAGAGATATCAGCTCTCACCAAAATCAAGTTCCTGAATCATAACAAATTATAAATTAAACTTTCCTGAAACTCTCATAATAGTTTCAGTGTGAATTTTCCCTTAAGACAATTAGCAAGTTAAATTTTGGGATTCACAAGACTGCTGAGAAAGAAAGAAGCTTATTACTCTCTTGGCATGCCCTCCTGGTTGATGAAATTATAGCATTGCTGCAGCATATTCTCTGAGAAATCTAAAGCTATAACAAGCGAAAACATCCCACTCTTAGCAAACAGCCTTGAGAACAAGCCACTCCCACAGCTTGCATCTATAATAGTTCCACCAGTGCTGGGTTTAAGATAACCTTTAGCCATTTCAAACTGCAGTCAGATACCGAGAATATTATAAAGATTTGACACTAGAATTAAGGAAATGGCACAAAAAATAAATTCTATTTCTTTGGTATTGTATCAAACAGTTTTTTTGATGATATTAGCATTCTGACTTCATTCCAAAATATTGCTTTTATGTATTTGTTTCTTGAGTGTTAAGTACTCCCAAATTGCAAGAAACAGATGTTGAAATAGTTCACAAATAATATTCTGCACATGATCCAGTTTAAGTTTAAAGCTGAACAGTGGTGTCAAGAAAGAAGTCATGAAACCTCTCTCTCTGGACCAGGGAAACCACCCCATACAAAATTTTGGCGCCATCCCCTCTCGTAAAGAAATGATACCAATGGGCTCCTGTTCCATAAGCAATTCATAAGAAGATACTTGGAATGTCTAAGTCAAATGAAACAACTTAATGGTTCTTCAATTTCAATAATAAAACTTTACAAATTTTAGCAGGAGATTCACATCAGGTCTTTTAAAAAAAATTTATGAAGACAAGAAATGGTATAAAATGATTCACTCTAACATGGCAGTGTAGGCATCTCTTTTTGCAGGAAAACATTCAGATTATATATATATATATATATATATATATATATATATATATATATATATATATATCCATTATATTTTTTTGAACATCAACCTGACTTTGCCATCCACTTGCATATGAAAATCATAGTAGAAAAAACACAAAAATTAGTTTTTATTGTCTAAGGGTCTAAAATCCAATGACCAAATCACAGGGATATATGTATAATATAATATATTATAATCATGACTTAGGAATGAGTATATAAGAACATAGAAATTTAAGAATCAGAATGGTGTCTGGTAAACCATTAATGGATAAACATTGCAAACATAAGATGTGTACGATGGATAAGATGAATTTGGTGTTGCATGAATTGACATCTCATGATTAAATGAATAAACCGAGCCCATAAAAGTAGATGAATTTAACAGTGATTCTGCACTGAAAATTTTCAGAAACTGAGTAACTATCTTCACTTATCAACATATTGGACAGAGAACAAGAAAATGATATTTAAGAGTGTAAGAGATGTGCAAGTTTTTTGTTCAGACAAAAAAGAACAAACAAAAGAGTTTTGCTAAACCATTTGCTCATCAATGACATAAATCATCCCTTATCCACAATGAATGAGTTTTAGGCAGAAGATACAGATAATCATTTAGTAGGACTTCAAGAAAGATACTACCTTGAACCTCACCAAGAACCCTCACAAAACGATGGGGGTTTCAGCTCTTTGTATTGAAAAATATAAATTATAAATTTGTTAGTTTATCTTTTGAAGGATCAACCAGCATCTTCCATGGAATTTAGAGGTTCAGAAAGGTGGTAATCAATCTCCTATGAGGAAACCTTTGGGCTCTAGCACATTCAGAGACCCTTAATCTAGATCAGAAGACCAAATATATTTAGAAAGTAAAAGATCTATCCACAGAATAATAAAGAAGAATGATAAAGAAGAATGCCATTAATTATGATGCTTGTCCCTACGGAAGTTACTGATTCCTAAGCATATCAAACTTCAAGCATTAAGAAGTGCAAGGCTCTTGCTCTTGTCTAATTTGTCTTTGTGGTCTGAACTTATCATGTTCCTATAAATTAGTAGCAGAGAAGAAAAAAGTCCTCCTAAATATAAACACGAGTATGTAAGAGGATATCAAGGTATCCCATTTCTGCTATTGGACCCATGCTGGCCCATGACCAGACCCATATGGGCGGAGGAGAAGGAGAAGAAGAGTAAGAGAAAGAGGAACAGGAGGAGGTGGAGAAGGAGAAGACAAGATTGGAAGGAGGAGGAGGAGGAGAGGAGAACTGGATGGGATGAGGACAGCGGGCGATGGTCTGGCAGTGGTAGGTGGCACAAGAGAGGCAAGCAAGGGAGGTGATAGAAACTTATGGAGAGACAGAGAGAGGGGCAGGGGCAACCCTAGTAAAAAGAAAAAAGAGAACCAGACATGCCGCTTGAAAAGAGACGGTCAGCATCCCGATTCACGTCTAGACCAATACATAACTTCCCCTTCATACTGGTCCAGGCAAAATGGCAAGCCTTGGCCCTTATAATCTTCATGTGACTACAAAGAACCTTATTACATTTATGAATAAATCTAGTATATACTTTCAACAATGCTGTCAAACAGAAAAGTCTGTGAGATTCTATTGAATATAAATGTGATCCATAACATGGTAACATTCATTCCTTTTATTGCACCATGGTTTGCTTGTCAAAAGAAGAATCATTTAACACCTGAAAAGTTCAGTCATTGCTGGCATAGTTTCAGCATAATCCTTGGATCCGCTAGCTACTGCCAGATCAAGATATATACCATTGTTTTGGTAATCTTTCTTGCAAGTATGGCATTCAAGATTGGACGCAGACTGGAATGCTCTGAAAAAATTCAACCAATATAACATTACACAAAGCAGGATGATCTTTTCAACTTTGCAAATATTGTATGATACTAGAAGAAATAGGATAGTAATTAGTCACACTTGTGTTGACAATTTAAAAATTAATAATAATAACAATACTTCTACCAATACTAACAATTTTAAGCCTGGACCATTTTTGCTGATCAAAGAATTGTAACAAATAGGGCAAGCTAATATGGGGATGCCAGTGCTAACTTTTGCATCTTCAGTGAGATCCTGAAAAGAGTACCACATCAGGAAAGGGTTATCAAACACAAGACTGCTGGTTAAAGCACCAAAAAAATTATCTAATAAATGTAGTACATATAAGAAATATATTTGTAAATAATCAGACAAACAAAGGCTTTTTTGGTAAAACAGGATTTATGTAAGGTCCATCAGAAAATTTTGAAAGTTCAAATAATAACTCACAAACTCCAAATCAAATAACGATTGCTTAAATTCATATAAAATTCTACCAATAAGGGTACTAAAATGGTAATGATTAGCTTGTATTCTGCAGTGATGGATTTATAAATTCCTTACAATAATAGTTTCCCAAAATCATGCAGGTCTTGATAGATACACTGGGATACTGTAAAAAGAATTAAGTTTCAAGGGCTCAAATAATGAGCCTAAGGGCAGTCAACATGGTTGAAGCAAAGTCTCAATGGCCTTATTCGGCACAATCTTATGAACAACTATTAAATGATTTCCACCCTCTAATTTGGTTTGAAAAATCATAGTCAGGAAAAGATAAAAGAAAACAAGCCAGGTACTTGTCTCAAAGAGCTGACTGGATGTTATAAATTTCCACATAACTATTCGCAGTACAAGGTTCACAAACTGAAAAGCATAACCCCCCAAATTCTGACATGGAGAAGAGTATAAAAGAAAGGAAGAATGATCAGCAATGCTCATGTAATACAATATTACTTTCTCATTGTCAATCAATCAGAGCTAATATGATGGCATTAGCAATATTTTAGCAACAATAGTGTATATTACTACTTTTGACGTGCAGAATTACTGTATTCATCAAAATCATGGTCAATTCAAATACTATATGATTCTGGGACATCAAGGGCGAGATCATGCCTGTGAATGCAACTACACAACATCCATCCATGGATGTCGTACATGATATCATGCAAATTTTTTGAATTGTAAAACTCTGAACCGCTTACTGTTTTCCATTTGCTTTTTCTATCTCTATTGGATGGACTTTTTATTGTAACTGATGCAGCAGCTTCAATGAAATATCCTCCTAGATTAAAAATCGAATTTTTACCAAATCCACCTTCAATTTGTAACACCAGTCCCAAAATTATAACAACTCCCCTTTCATAGTCTGCACATCACCGAACCATTCCTCTCCCGTGACATTAACTAAGAAGCGGACAGAGTGTAAAAGGTCTAAATCCGATGATTAATCGAATTGCGAATGAAGGATAGAGTATAAAAGGTCTAAATCCGATGATAAATCGAATTGCGAATGAAGGGTAGACGAATAAGACCTGTGTTACCGGATTGGAGTCGCCGGTGGCCGTCCCAGGAGGAGAGGAGGAAGAGGTGGTGGCGGCTCGAATAACTACGCCTCGAGCCAGGAGGTGGGGTTTGGGGATGAGACTCCGGCGAGGATTGAAGAGGAAGTGGCGGAGCGGGAGGTGGAGGAGGACGCCTCCCACGTTCCCCAGAGCTGTTGTCATGTTTCCCTACACCCACCGCTACTCGCTTTGAACCCCGGCGACAGTAACATAAAGTACGATCTCGAATTAGATCGCGGGATGTCATCTTACGGTGATGACGGTTGTCGGAATTTTACGGTCTCACATGTTGTGCGGCTATCCTGCGACCGCCTCGGCGTTGCTTGCCATGGACAGACACTGCACGGATACGTGGATGTTGCGACCTACACACGAACCCTGATGCAATCGGAACCAAATGTTGGCCGGCCCATCAACGGACGCTTACGGCCCATCATCAGGTACATATGATGATCATGATGTCAGGTCAACCCGTCTGAGAACACTCATAACACGGTTAAGCACTCCTAGTTGCATTTGCATTCTAAATATCATGATGATACACAGAGACTTGGTTTAGGCACTAATTGCCGTGGATTTTTTTCAAATTAGATGAATCCGAGTCTTTCAAGTCGATCTTTTATATATATATATATATATATATATATATATATATATATATATATATATATATATATATA